ATTGCACTTTATATGAACACACACACACTATCCACACTCGCTTACACGCTTGATGAGCATGCGGGTCTATGCTTTTTCGTTGAGCTGCCGCTTAAGTTCTAAATCCTCTGCGTACTTTCGCGCTTATCTGTCGCTTACGCTTCCGTCGTCATTTGTCGGCGTCGCTCTAACCCCCTCTAGCGCCCACTTCAACTCAAGTATTTGGCGTCCATTGAAACACGCTCTCATCACTTGCTCTAGCTCGCTGTGTCGTGGTCCATTTCAGCACCGCGCCCTTTCGACCTTTGCTCCTTGGCTTATGGCCTGCGAAATGCTCATTATTTGTTTGTTGTTATTGGCCACACAATTGTTTCATCCGCCATTTGTTCGCATTAGCCGATCATTTTGTTTATTTTCACTTCTTTGGCTGGCAATATTTTGCACATTTAAGTTGCAATTGTTTGCACGTTTAGCTGGACGCTTCGCAACGAATATGGCGCTTAAGCGGAAGTGAAGCGGAAAGGAGAGTGCTTTGTTAATTCATTGCAGGAATTCAATTTTAACGCAGGAATTTAAGATTTTATTCAATTTTGGCTATATATGTATGTGTACACATATACAAATGTGTAAAATCGACACTTAATCTATTTTTAGGCGCTCAGCCACATTCTTTGAATTTTCTTGTCTTTGCTCGAGTGAAAAATTATTTTCAATTGACTGAATAAGGGACTTATTACAAAAAAATACTTTGTGGTTTAATTTCACTCCCAAGCAAAAGTGAGTCTCAAAAATGAAAGAAGGAAAAGTTACGAAATCGAAAGTAGTAACGCTGTCGGTCGGAAGTCCTTTTTGGTTGGCTTGATCAAACTAGGTAAATGAGTTCTCTGCCACCTAAAATTTATTGGTGTGTGAACGGTACGCTTAGTTAAATGCATTTTTGTATTTTTGTAAAGGGTTGCCACCTCTTCAAAATTCTTGGTACATAAATTACAAGAATAAACGAAGTACTACAGTATGGGTGTCAAACTTAACTGATTTATAAAAAACTTTAGACAAAAATATTTCAAGACAGAGTTGCCAACTGTTTAAAAAATTTACGCCATAACATTGACAAGCTAATTAAGAATAACAATATAGTTACCAAATTTGAGATGATTTTGAATAATAGAAGTTGAGAAAATATATATTTAAATGGTTGCCACCTATTTTAAAATTTAGTTTATTTGATTTGTTGAAATCAATAAATGTTTATATGTGTATTAAGCTAAACCGGTTTATGGAAAATTTATGACGAAAATATTTTTAGGAAGAGTTGCCAACTGTTTAAAAACTTTTACGCCATAAAATTAATAAGTTAAATAATGGTTGCAATATGGGTACCAAACTTAAGATGCCTTTGAGTACTTGAAGTTGAGAAAATATTATACATGAAAAAGGTTGCCACCTATTTAAAGTTAAGTAGAATTCATTTGTTAAAAAAAAAAAAAATAGTTATGTTAGTAAGAATTTAAACATAGTTTATAAAAAATTTATGTCGAAATTTTTTTTTTGAAAAAAGTTGCCAATGCATAAAAATTTACGCCATAAAATTACTAACATTTCCTCAAAATATAGATCATTCAGAGCTCAATAAACATATCGACACAAGACTTATTATAGCAAACACCACAAATAGCTGGCAACTCTCTACGATTTTCACTTTATATTCAATTACGAAAATATATTTGGTATAATTTTCAGCTTTTCACTTCACAACCTGTGCACAGGCAGAAGTGTCAAAACCTCACAAAACTCACTTTATTCAATTTTGTTTGCAGCGAAGAGTTGCCACTGTGGGTTACCGCACGAAATCAACACAAACACAAAAACAAGAAAAAATGTTGGGCGTAAATTACAACAACAACCGCCATTCACCATTACACAACTGGCAGCAATGAAGCGTTTTCAACCGTCTACATAAATACATATGTGTAACGTTTTCCATTTTTTGTTGCCTGCCACATGTGGCGTGGACGTGTACCGTTATTTGTCAGTCGCTTTAAGTGACTGATGACAGAACAAATTGCAATTAGGCTCAATAATGCGCGGTATAAACAGAAATTGTTTAGACACTTGTCGGCCAAAATGTGTTTGTTTGTAGCTTTTGTTGTCATTGCTATTGTTGTTGGCTTACCGAGCTGCTGTTCACAAATCCTTTTAGTCTGTTAAAGCTTTTCGGTTTGTTTGTATTTACGCACTCAACGCGGTGTGTTTGTTATCTCCAACTGTTGTTTTTGTTGTAGTTGTTGTTTGGTGAGCGTGTTTTGCTGCCTATTAGACAGCTGCAACATGCCGCATATGCCACATGTCAACAGCCATTCGCTTAGCGCCGAGTTAATTAAGAGGTAAACAAAGCTCTGTAGCTCGGTAGTTGTTATTGTTTTCTGTTCAAAGCATTGTTATTGCTTACCGATGGCGTGTATATGTGTTTGTGCATGTGTGTGTGTCGGCCATAAAATCAAGTGCCAACCAACGGTTCCGTTGTCAATATTGGTCACATCGGTCGTATCGGTTGCATTGCTCGTGGTTATCCGCGCTACTTGCCCCAACTGCAACACCAGCAAGTGTAGCACAATACCGTTGTGAATTCTAGCTCGCCGACCACACCTCTTCGGAGATCATGTGTAGCAGTCAAATTGGCATTTGTTGTCTTTGTTGCCTTTCCAATAGCGGTTTTGTGGCAACTAGCTGGGCGTGTGGTGTGACTACATGCACGTTTGTGTATGTGTGCGTGTGTGTTAGTGTATGTGTATGTTGTGCGCACCTAGCATATGCTTTGACCACACTCGGCTTCGGTTGCCACGGTTGCCATCCCATTCGGGCGCATCAATTGCATTTGCCTGCTTGCTCACTGTCAATAGTTTAACGCAAAAGCTTATTTGCCACAAGCGTGAATGAGCAATCAACCTTGTCTACATATGTATGGGTTTTCACTTTGCGACGTTTAATGCTTGAATCCTCCGTGATATTGATATGAGTGTGACCTTGAATCATTTCTGACATTTAATATTCGCTTCGATTTAGGTTGCATTGAGCCTTTGTGAATGGAATCTGGTTGTTGTTGTTGTTGTTTTAATACTCTTGCAAGATGCATGCAACAACTAAAATAGTGCATTTTATCTAACTGTTTTTGGTGACACTATAAAAAAAATGTTATACCTATATATACTGTTTCTCATATCAGCTTAATCAGGGTTGATTTCGCGATGCCCAATCATTCGTTCAGTCACCTGTCAGTTCGTGCAAAGCAATACTTTGCTTGAAATTTATACACCCTGCAAGCAACTAAGATAGAATACTCAAAAATGAAAAAAAATATGTGATTTTGAGTTCGAAACTAGGTAGTTTCAGTTTATTCTATGGACACACCACTTCTCATCACTGAAATATCGAAATACTTGAAATTTATTATAAATGTAATAAATCCCTAACTTATACTGCAACCACTGCTTTTCTGATACAAATTTGGCATCAGCCACGCCTACTGCTCTAATAACGCCATTTTGGATTTAAACAATTCTTTCTACATTACCCAAAGACATAAGAAAAACTATGAAAAATCTGTGGAAAAAAATTCCGAAAAATCCACCTAAACCAAACATGTGCCTATAGTTGATTTTTTATCGAAAGTATCGGGAAAAAGGTGAGATATATTATTGAAATTCATAAATAGTCTTTACTAATAAAATTTTGTCCGAAAATGCAAAAAATCGGCTAGGGGAACTCCTATAAGTCCAATATATATATTTTCGAGCTTCCGGTAGGCTTCATAACCGCATATATGAGATATATAAAAGAAATTCCAAGAACTTCTTTTTCTGCTAATAAAATGTAACGTTGATAAAAATGGATAAAATCGGTTTCATACTACCCTTAAACTTAGCTGACCATTCGTCCCGGTTTGGCCAGGATAGTATTCGGAATCCATACGTTAAGCGTCCCGCGCTTAGGAATTAAAAAAAAGAAAGAATGAATTGAATAAATTTGTGTTGCTCTCCCACCTATAATATGTCGCGATTTTCAGTGAATTATAATATGGAAAACATGGATGAGTAATATGGAAAATACCGCCCCGGATTTTGCAGCGAAAAATGTGGTCACCTAACCTTATACCCTAAATTGCGTGAAAACATGTTCTCGAGTATACTTGAGTAACACCAAAAGTTGACGTAATCAGTCCGGACTTTCTCCTAGCCTCGATAAAACCGATATAGTATTATCTAGCTTTCCAGCAGTCATTAAATCGCTTATGTTAGTTTTGATCAAGAGCGAGAGTATAAAATGTACGGTTCGAACTTACCATAGATTAGCAAGTGTGTTTTGTAGAAACGGCTGTCTTTGTTTCCCTCTTTGATGTTTCCGTTTGTCACAATTGCCTCGCTCGGAAAAATGTGACATCGACGGGAGGTTCTGTTATTTAATTTTTACATACGGACATGCCTCAACTGTAAGGAAAAGTAACATCGCTATTCTTTGCGACTTCTATAAGCTTCAATTTAAGGTTATATTTGTTTGGAAACATACGTCAAAAAAGTAAAATCCGCTAGGTGGAGCTCAATTTGATTAATTGAAAAATCTGCATAGTTGAATTCAATAACGATACGTACAATTAAAGCTGAGTTAACAAAATTTGAACGAAAAAATTGGAAAATTCCCTCAAAAAATTTACACTTCTAAACAATATCGAAATTATCTACTCTTTACTACGACTAGTGTGAGTCCAACATTTCGAAAGCACTCTAAAGCTCAAGTAAAGAGTTTTCATGCAAAAATCCTATATACTTTTCAACTTACTGCATATATACATACATATTTTTCAATAAAATAAATTTTATTAAAACCAAAGAGAAAAACATTTCAATTTGCCACTGAGTATATAAATTTCTGTGAAATTAACGCATTATAATAGTGATGAGCTTTAAAATTATTTAAATGTTGCCATTAAAAATTAATGCACATACTCTTTCTCTCCCCTCTTTCAGCTTTGCCAACAACCGTTGCTCGCATATGCAGAATTGTGAACTTGTGAAACACAATTAGGTACGTAATACATTGTTAATACAACCATTTTACTGGTTATTTCTGATGGAATTTTAACACATACTCAGTGCAAAATTTATAAACTGAATAAATGTATGCAAATTAAATGCAACATTTGCGGTCATTAAGCGGAAAAAATAAAAAGGATGATAATGAAAAAAAGTATTAATTCCATAAATCAAATGTGTGTGAAAATGGCAAAATGAACGAAAACGTGTGCGAAAAAATTTAATAAATTGCTAAAGCGATTTTTGTTGCTGTCAAAAAGCCAACAACACGCACACGTTCATGAGCAGTGCGCCGGCAGCGTTTGTTTGGAGTAGTAGTGACAGCGCAATCAAAAATAATTTATTTGACAATCCCAGACTCGAACACTCAGCGACTGTAAACAGTTGAACTACACGCGTTGGAGTGTGCGACGGCATAACAACTGCTGCCTTCCATGCAACCGCTGTGTATGTGTGAGTGTGTGTTTGGGTGCGTTGTCCCTACAGGGGAATGCGAACGACTATGTAGAAATATTTCTACAGACTTTTGGGAATTTAGCTGAAATTGTCACGCGGATGACCTGAGAGAACTTTAGAGAACTAAACAAATAAGAAGTACACAAATTTGAACTATTATATTATAGCCTGATTGTAAGTCTAACACTCTCCAGCAGTCAACTGAGCTCGTCTACTATTCGTTATTATTTTTTGATTCTTTAAACTGCTACGGACATCGGAACTATAGCAAATATACGAATATGTAGCGGAAGTCGATTGATTGTTAGAGCACATCGGTGTGTTAGTTGTGCCGAACTAAAGTCGAAACAGTTCGGAATCCATACATTTTCCGGCAGGGACTGCGGAACCCAACAAATTGTCGTAAAAAATTGCTACGTCACTGTGAGCAGTCAATGGCGAACGAAGTAGATGCTCAAAATCCAACAACAACTGCATGGAAGAGCTTTGGTCGGAGTTATAAACTTGCATTTTTCCCGTCAAATTTAATAAAAGGCATGGACAGCAATTTCCTGTGTATTGACTAAAAACATATATCATTAATTTTTTGGAAACTCCCGCAATACTTCGGCAATACCCCGACAGCAGAGCGGCAATATTAGCGCTGAGCTCGATAACGGTGCGCTTTAAGCTAGTCACGGAGTGTCTGTCCTCACTAGAAGTAGCATCAAGCTACTTCATCATCAGACTCGTTTGGGTGTCTAGTCATAGCGGAATCACTGGCAACTTCAAAACCAATGAGCTAGCCAGAGGAGGCGCTTTTGCTCTGCTCACATTGGGATGGAACCGAGTTGGATCTCCATTTCCGTCTAGGACTGGACTAATGGACATCGCGACCAGCTTCTGTGCGACTAAGATTCTTTTGGCATAGAGCAGATTGACATTCATGCGGTAAGGTTAAAAATCTTGACGGACGCAAGTTGTCAAAGTTGTTTTGAGGGTGAAATGGAAATATTCAGTCGCTTTTTCCTCTATTGTCCAGCCTTTGCAAGACTGAGGTTGAAACTTCTCGTCTGTCTTACCTTCGACGAACCAGGAGACTTAGCTGAAACTGACATTAACTCAACAAATTTGTGATAGCGATAGGCAAAGCTCGTTGCCGATTTGCAAGGGTCTTGTGACTTATTATATAGGAGTTTTAGGTAACACAGCGGACCGGCGTTCTAAGCTGTCCGAGTGAGATCCCTGTTAGGATCGACATCTTAACTTAACCTTACCCTCAAATAATCTAAATTTTGTTGATCAGAGACGGGCCGAATCCTACAGATGTTCTTCGTTCCTCAAGTTAATATCACGAACTTAGCCAGACTGATTCGTTATTTAAATGAAATGAATGCAGCAGAGTTTAGTTTTCCATAGTTAGAATAATAAAAAAATAAGAAACAGAGGACCAGATCGTTTGTTGGGTTGGCAAACGGAATGGACCCAGATTATATATGGCCAAGGACTGTCAACTCGGAAGCATTTCTCTAAAATGCTTCAGCGATGTTTGTTGCCGCCACAACAGCAACAACATCGGTTGTTGGCATCACTAATCGACTTCAAAACGGAGTGGTCGCGCAAATATCGTGGACCTTTCATAGGTGTCCTATTCTTACTCGAAGATATCGTTATTAAAAGTGCTGTTACATGTAGCGTAGACAATATTATTGAACGATTGCAAGTTTACAGGTTCTAGAACTTACTTCTGTTAGTCGAGTTATCTTGTTCAAACGAAATTGGAATCCTCATATTAAATCCCTATCACTGTTGCTAAATTAAAATACACTTGGATGCAAAATGCTCCACTCAGTGCTTGGTACTTCAAAAACAACAACTGCAACATTGGTAATGGTTGATAGCACCAGCTAAGCTTGCGGCAGCCAAATACTTGCCATCTGTGATTGCTGCAAATATGCTTATGGCATAGAGAGGGCTGTCTGTCTCTGTCTGTCTGTCCGCTGAAGATATGCATTTCAAAGATGCCAACTCGCAATATTACGAGGCACGCATATGACAGACACTACATTGCGTACGCAGACACCGACAGACTGCCGTGACGATGATGGATTCGGTTCATTTCACTGGCGGCCACAGTGCGGTGCAACGTGAGGCAAGTGCCACTGCGTCGACTGCCATCGACTACAATACCCACACATATGCATGACAGGATTTGATTAATGTGGCATGTAGCGGCAATGGTGTGTGCGAACACACTCGCAGGCCGAGCGCAGACAAGGCAGCCAGGGCAGCGACTGACAGTCGACGAATCGGAAGTTAACGGCGCTCCGCATGGATACACGCTGACAAATTTGCATATTAATTCGGCAGATTCCACTTGGTGGTTTAATTTCATATTGCCACACACACTCACAAAAAGCTTTTGTGCTCGGAAAAGTCACTCACGCACATATACATGCAGCGCCCTGCTCATAAATATCAATGGCTAACGAGTCAGCTTATGCTAAGTTATGCAATGCTGTGCGCTGCAAACTCTTTTCTGCACTTTTACCGTCACATAGAGCTCAAGCGTTCTCATTTCATTTGCACCGAAGAAAAATATTTTCCATAGACCCATAAGCGCTTTTACTGCAACCAAGCACACATATATACACATACACATGTATACACACACTTACATACTGGGAAAACATATGTTTTCACTATCTTTCAGTTGTTATTTCAGTGGCAAATTGCCGTTCTTCAGCGAGTTTGAGTGGAAAAGTAGCCAAGAGTTGTGCATGTAGCGAAGTGATATTGGTGCGTGTGTGTATGTGTGTCAGTGCCACCACGTAGTAGCTGTCAGCGAGGCAAAAGTCGTCAAAAGTAAAGCAAGTGCTGAGCAATTAAGTCTCGAAAGCAGACGGCGAGAGGAGAAGCAGTAGAGGAAAAAGCAAAGTAAGAAGTAAAAGAAGTAGAAGTAGAAGACAAAGTATAAGAAGAAGAAGGAGAAGGTGTTTGAAAAACTTTTAGCGAAGTGTTAGTGATTTATTTGCTTTGCTTTTTGAAGCGTGGCAATGTGCAAATAGTAAGTGTGTCAATGCTCAATCAAAATATTATTTTTTATTTAAATAAAAAAAAAGAATTACGCGATTCCAACACAACTATCTGTAAACAGCTGAAGCGCAGGCTTTAAATGTTTATTCAGAACGGATTTCTGAGAAAAAATTTTAGAACATGATTTCAAAATATTATATATAATATATAAATATATATATTAGAAAAATATTATTTTATAGTACAGCTTGTCAAGCTTAGTTGCCTTCTAATTAAGTTTTAACCTGACTTAGGCTTCAAAATGATATGAAAAAGTGTTTCATAAGTTCAAAAACAAGTTGTTATTGTGATAAAAGCTAAAGAAGCCAATTTATGGTGTTAATAGAATGGTTTGGGGGCGTTGAGATCACAAAAAAATATCAAAGTGAAAAAATACCAAAAATCTGAAAATAATGAACAATTAGTAATCTCTTTACACTACTCTAAACTTCGTTTAATGTTTAGACTACACAACTACTACTTTCTGCCACCTCCAAGAGAGCCTTTGATCTCTAAAGATAGTAAAAGAGTTTCTGTGCCAAACAAATGGCAAAATCAGATACCGGTATTTACATGATCGCCAAACACAATGAATTGATATGAGTCGTATTTCGCAAAATTTTTCATATAGTTTTGACAAATATCGAAGCCTAGGTTAGGCAAAATTTAAATTTTAAGGCAAGCGTGCTTATTATGCTTGGCTATAAAATAATAGTTCTCTAACTTTAATAACTTGAAGCCATGAAGCAAACTTGTGTACAATAAATAATCCCTTTGGAAATATAATGGAATACGTGCCTAAATATAGGCAATACCAATGAAATGTGGCCTACATTTGGGCGAATGCTGATCTAATATTAAACTGGTAAAGAGAAAATTATTAGAGTTAAAAGAATAACCAAAACTTAAGGCGACAACATAGGCATGATTTGCGAAATTAAAAAAAAAGCAAGTTAAAATTGAAATAAAAATTTTCTTGGAATTTTACATTTGAAAAATAGTTTATAACTGACACATCAATTCACGCATGTTAACAAAATTTTACGCATATAATTGCGCAATACAAAAAATATTTTATTTAAATTTATCAAAATGGAAGATTTTCCAACAAATGCGAAGAGTTGCTCTACTATATGAATAATATATATAAAAATAATAATGATTTTGTTAAAGATAAGCCAGAATTAAGTTAACTTATGGTATATGTGTGCGTAATACGATATATGCCAAAGAAAGGTAGTAAAAATAATGTATTTTTTGTTAGAATTTATAGCAGCATTTTAGGCTTCATAACCAAAGCTTAATTTTTGGCGCATATTTAATTTATTTATTCACAACGGTTGAGCTAGTAAGTAATATATAATAAAATTAAGCAAGCTTTACCACAGCCTACACGGCTAATTCAATTTTCGAAAAGAAAACAAATAAATTTCCGCTTGCAGCTGTTGCAATTGCACTAACAAGACCCTACCACATATTCTC